TGTCACTGCATTTGTGCTGGCACCATTGGTCTGACAGACACAACTGGACTGTGGATCCCCCGACTTAGACTGGAGGAGTGGGCAGTCAGCAGGTGTGCGGGGCAGGAACCACAGCAAGGCACAACCTCCTGGCTGCAGCACCTGCAGGCAGAAGAGCATCAGCAGTTGCACAGTTGTGGCAGCCTGGTGTCCTGAATCCATCCAGAATGTTCCCCTTCTGCAGTCCTTTAGACCCTGAGCAGGAGCCCGAAGTTGAGCAGAACCAAACCCACAGGGTAAGGTGCCTGGGAAGCAGTTTGTTGAGAGAGCGAGAGGTGCACTAGGAGTGCAGAGTGCCTCTCTGCTGCTGCACAGCTGTCTGGGGTCGTAATCTCCTAAGCTGCTGTGACGTGTGTTGTGCAGAGGCTCTGTATGCAAACTACAGATGATGCAGTCAACACATCTGATGAAACCCTGAGTGACCCCTCCTGAGACCACAGCAGCTTTGACACACAAGACAGATGGTTCCTGGCGTACTTGAGTCACTTCCAGTGTGGCTCTTTCTTCTGCTGCTTGGACAACCTTCCTTTGATTTTTCTTTCCTTTAGAAAACCAAATGACAGACTTCAACTATAGATACACTTTACGGACGTAAACAGAACACTGCCTTTTTTTGCATCAGGGAACTCCACGAGGAAATGTGTTTTTGCAGAGTATACAAATGCCAGGACTGGGACCCTCACCCAAAACCTTACACTAACCCCAACCTCAACCCCAACCCAAGGCTCACCCTAAAACTTAATGGTAGCCCTAACCAACCCCAGCCCTAACGCAGCCCTAAGGCTTCTCACCCTGTGTAAGATTCCTTTGCAGTCAACACTGCAGAGTTCCTGCTCAAAATCTTTGATGAATCTCATAATCTGGGGGCAGGGTACAGTTTAAATTAACTATTGTTTGTTCCCTATTTCTTTTCCCAATTTCTGTAACATCAGGCTGCAACAAGATTACCTAAAAAAAAAAACCTTGATTTCTTATAGGAAACCTGGATAATTCTTTTTGAGTTTTTAAATATCATTTAATCTGACTACATGATTGACGTTTCTTGGAAGAATCCGACGGAAACAGACGTCTTCAAGGTGTTTATCTTTTGTAGAAGACCTGCTGGTAGCCCTTTTCCGAGAAAGCTTCTCACCCCTCTGGGAGACCAGGTCTCTCCGCTGGGCACCCTCGTGGTTTCCACTGCTGCGTGGCTGATCAGCACCCCCGGCGCTGGTCCGGTCCTCGAGGCCTGGCGGCCCCTCCGTCTTCCGCCTCTCCGCAGGACTGCCCTGGTGCGGCCGGGCCCTTCCTTAAGGGCCTCGGGTCCTGTCCTGCAGGCCCGGGCCGCTGACGGATGGTGCCGGGCTGGGGCCTTCGCCTGCAGAGCACAACTTGGAATGGCCCTTGTGGCTGAGAAATTCAGTCAGGGTCTTAGAAAATCAACAGCAGGCTGCAGTGCAGCTGCTTTTGCGTGTCTTCTTCCCCTCCCCCTCCTGCAAGGTGCCCAGAGCGGTGCTCTATCACGCCTGCGCAGAGCCTGTCATCCTCCCGGGCGCCCGTGTTTCACGACAGTCAGGGCAGAGCGCCCCATGAAGCAAAACGATGTGCCAGACTTCCGCCTCATCCCGTGAAACTGTCACTGGCTACCAAACGTTGAAATAATAGTTTCATCCCAAAGAGTAGTATTGCTTTATCTTTAACCCCAGTTTTAAAAAACAAAAAAGCTTATACTGCTAGAAAATACATTGAAATTAAAGTTTTAATTCATTAAGAGAAAGCCGGTCATTAAATAATACATTAATTGTGTAACAGTTGTGCCTAGATAATTGTCGATAAGAACGTCTAACAGGGAATTTATTTTTAAAGTAATATACAGAAACCAAATTTGATTTCAAAACTAAAAGCCAAGATTCATAGCCTCTAGCTTTTGACATAGAGCAGTTCACTAGCTTTGGAATTTCATCGAGCCAATTAAGTATACAAAGCAAATTAACCAAAGCATACATTATGCATGTAGAGAAAATATTAAAGTATATAATAAGGAAATGTGTTCAATAGGAGTCTTTAAAAATTGAAAACACAAAGTAATTTTGAGATTCATGATAGCCCTAAGGTTCATGTTACTTGGTGATAAATTTAGAAGAGATTAGACTTGGTTCAGCTTGTTGCTCCTACAGGCCAAGAGTCAGAGCTTCTTCCTCTTAACTCCTTCAAGGAGGGTTGAGGGTTTGCTGGGTTTTAACTCATTTACCACCGTGATCATTCCTGATATTTGTTGTTGCCTCAATTTTACATACAACTCCTCTCTTAAAGGCTAAATAGTGGATTAAAATCACATTGGCTTTTCTGTGGTACCCGGAATGGCAGGGACAGGAAAACATGAACATTTCAAAGAAATAACTCAGTCTTGCATCCAGCCGTTGGCTTTCTTCAGTAAGGTTAGATCAGATACAGGATTTCATCAATGATTTCATTGTTTGAAGGAAAGAGCATCTGTGATCTTCAGAGTTGTGACATTTTTCATTTTCCATCCTATTTCTGCCTTTTTCATGACACATAATTCAGGCATTTATTGCATTTAAATTAATGGATTGGTTGGCAGCTGAAAAACTGGTTTGTGAAAGAGGTTGGAATAACTTGCAAGATTTGTCTACACTTCAGCATTTCATTCCTTTAATTTTCATTCTGAAATTTCTTTGCTGCTGTAGTCACATGATGACGCCTCAGTCAGGGCACTGGCGGTGACGACATGCCCTGCCCCTTCTAGCGAGGTGTGACGAGGCCACTGTGTCCTTCACTCCTGCCACAGGGCTGTGCTCCAGAGCACCCGCCACTGCACACTGCCATGTCTGACCGTGCAAACACGTGCTCACCAGGGTGCGGTTTCTTCTTTCTTGGGGTTGAAACCCCACATTTTCATGTCTGACTGGCAAAGCACAGGTGCTGCTGAGGTCTGCACCAGAGTTAAATACCTTTCTGTACCTCAGGTGCGTTCCAGGCCTTCAGTAAGGCCTTTCCTGCTCATAGAGAGGGGAAAGCAGACACAACCCATGTCCTTGTGGGACCTGCCAGCGTCCTCACACTCAGCTGTCACTGTACAGAGTGGCACTGAGGAAGCCTGAGATCAGAGACTTGGGGTGGATTTAGATGCCACCCGTACAAACTCGGGGTCTGGCCAGGTCTCGCCTAGAAAGTGCCTGGCCAACAGCTCCTCACTTCATTCTTTTTCCAGCTCTTCCACACAATCCTCCATCATAGGCAGGCAACAGCATGGACAGAATGTGGGGGAAACGAGCCTCGGTGCTTCCACATCTGACCAGTTCTGAGCTGGAGGCTTAGAGGAGCCATCTCCGTGCTCCACACCGACTCCTACTGTCTCACCAGTGCCTGCCGCACCCGAGAAGCGGCCACATGTACCAGGAGTGACACCCAGGGGTTAATTGGCGTGAAATACTGGGAAAGCCCTGAGCATCAGGTAAAGATGTTATTTTGAAAACACACTTTGCTTGTATTTTCTTAACCATAAAAATGATTGTCGTAGAAAAGACATGTCAGCACATAGCCCAGGGAAAATCCCCCAGACCCACCCACAGAGCGCCACTGTGTGGTGACCCGGGTTTCCTCCCTGCTCTCTCTGCGTGAAACGCCGGTCTGCACGGTGTCATGGTGCAGGCAGCGTCCCACCCACACCTGCGTCTGTCCCGGCACCTCTGCAGCGAGGTGGGGCCCTGAGCACATTTAAGCGTACTTACGAGTGGAAGTGTTCCATCACCACGGAGCCCAGCCCGTCCCTCCTCAACAGGCGCCCTGGCATCACCCACCCGTTATTGAGCATGACTGGTGTTTTTACTTTTGTCTTTTTTTTTCTATTACAAATAGTTTTTTGGATAGACAACAGTGTTGCTGTTGTTGAAGGCATTTCTAGGTTAAAGGAGCTAAATTACTTAGAATGTAGAGGAAGTGCCTGGTGCGGAGGCGAGGTACCCGACAGGACAAGTGCACGCCTGCCAGGTCCTTCTGCTTCCGCCGTGCACCTCCTGGGGTCAGAGGTCACACACGCAGCTGTGAGGATGTGCCCGAGAATCTGAGCCCAGGTTAGTTTTCAGCGACTATAACAGGTGCCCGCTGAAGAAAAATGTTTGCTGTGGTCACAGTTTCAAAGGTCTTAGTCCCTGGTCGGACTCGTTGCTTTTACTTATCCATTCATTTTTTAAATTTTTACTGGTAACGTATGTAGTGTGTAATGATCACAGTCTTCTTGGTGAGTTGGTGAAGAGCCTCTTCCTTCCCCTTTCCTGTCTCCGTCTCCTGGCCGCCTTCCCTTTTGGAAAAGATCTATCTTCCTATTCCCCCTTATCTATGTTTAATTTTGCTATTCATTTATATTTTGAGTTTCTCATGAAAAAGAATCCTTGTGGTACTTTAGCTTGTGTGTCTGATTTATTTCACGTAACATTATGGTCTCCATTTTCCTACAGATGCCTGCAGTCTGTCCTTTTGGGCAGCCTGGTAATCCCTCGGTATAAATACCACACTTTCTTTACCCAGTCGCCTGTTGGTGGGCACTTGGCTTCCAGGGCTTGGCTGTTGTGCTGCTGGACACATGGGTGTGCATGGTTCAGTTTCTGTCGGGCTGCCTGGCACCCGGGGCAGGAGTGTGTCACAGAGCACAGCTGCTCCTCTCAGGGCTGAGCAGCAAAGGAGCGGGAGGAAGGCGGGGTCCACAGACACCGGGGTCCACAGACACCTTCCAGGGCCGCCGCCTGGCAACCTGGGGCCTCGTGTTGGCTGGGTCCCTACAGGCATCACGACCCCCAGAGCCCCAGCAGACGGGGTCGGGCCGCCCTGAGGAGCCCTACCGCCTGTGCGCTGGCCGAGCAGAGCCCTCTGCGCTCTGCTCCTGTACTGCTCCAGTGTCTGGGGCCACCCTTGGGGTCGCGATGCTGTTGTCCATGACTCAAGTACACTGTTCCTCCTTCCAGGAATGCCATCTCCAACCACGCTGAAGAAGTCGGAGAAGTCGGGTTTCAGCAGCCCCTCGCCCTCGCAGACCTCCTCACTGGGCACGGCGTTCACGCAGCACCATCGGCCGGTCATCACGGGCCCCCGAGGTGAGTGTGGCCACAGCGCAGGGCCCGAGGGCGGCAGGGCTCAGGCCGGAGGGGTGCCCAGAGCAGCCCTCTTTCCTCTCGCAGGCTCATGGGATTAGCACAGTGTGGGAAGGAGCTGGACCTGCACCAGAGTCAGGAGCACACCACACGTGTGTGTATGTGTGTGTGCACACATATTCCCGCACGGTGCCTGTGAGGTGGGTGCTCCTTACGGTCAGCCACCTGCTCTCGAGTCAGAGCTGTGACTGGCTCTCTCCTCCCATCCTCCTCTGGGAAAGGCCGATCTCAGTACGCAGCGTTTGGGTTGGGCTGATGGGAGGCTCCATCCGCTCCTTTTGAAGTGGGAGACGGTCGGTCTGGTTCTCATTGCAATGTTTTCATTGTTTTTGTCTCGTATGCTTTTAAGTTTATTATTAAAATGTGTCCCCAAGAAATACAATTTGTATTTTACTTTAAAGACAAGACTTAAACCTCAAGAGAATGTCAGCAAATCACCTGATTTGATCTCACTGCGAGATGAAAATATTTACCGTTTTGTTTACACAGCTCCTCCAGCAGGGGCGGGGTAGCTGCGCACACTCTCTGGTTGGTCCTCTGCCGCAGTTAGGGGTTCTTGTCTGCTCTGACACCCACCTGGGGAATGAAGCTTTCTGGCGTTAGCCTCGGAGTTATCCTGCGGGTCTCACCCGCTTCGTATGTAATCTCTGCGTCTCAGGAAACACGGAGTCGAGGGCCATCTGCACTCTCGGAAGGGCACACAGGAGGACGGGCGCTCTGACTCTGCCAGGCAGTTATGGGCTTTCGCTTGCTTCCTCTTTAAACACCAAGATAGCGGTAGAGTTTTCCCCAGACCTGTGTGACTTCACACTCACACACATGTAGTAAACACAGATACTTACCGTGTGTGTGTGTGTGTGTGTGTGTGTGTGTGTATACAACCTTGAATGCCCGCATCCAAACTGAATGAGCACTCCGAGAAAGAGCCCCTTCAAATGAGGTGGTATCAACATCGTCCTCCTCAGTAACCTTCGCTCAGCATCTGGATGACGGTGGGAATCAAAGGTACAAATCCCTTTCGCTCAGAATATTTATGATCCTGGGAGTTAAGGCCTGGGTTATTTCTCAGCTCTCAGGGCCAGGTCAGCTAATGCAGATGCTCAGTGAGTGTTACACACGCAGACCTCTGCCTGTGCTCAGAGGAGGGGCTGCGGAGCCTCCTCCCTTCACTGACCCCACGAGAGTTTACTGAGTCCCTCAGTGACTCCGGGGACGGGTTCCGGGCTCCTGTCCGCATGGCTCCTGCATTTAGAGGAGGAGAGAGACCAGAGGAGACAGAGTCATTGATCATTTTTATCAATAAAGAGAGCAGAGCATAGATAATACTGAAGTCGGCTCTTCCGCAATGCTCCTGTGAACAAAGAGCATTCCAAACCCAGGAAGACGCTGAGGGAGGGAAGAGCCCGCAGAGAACCACAGGGCCTCTGGAGAGTGGGTAAGCAGCCTCTTGCCTTTCCACTGCCCTCTGGGTTTCCGCCGTGGGAGGAACCTTCCTCCAGCCTCACCTCATCACCCAGAAACTGAAATAAAGCATTATTTTGGAGACTCCTTGAAGAGCAGAAAGTGGTGGGCGCATGTTTCCACTTACTCAGTACATAGTGAAAGTGCCCAGAACTCTCTGTGAGTCCCTGGCACCACCGTGGGGGAATGGGCTGCCCAGCTCGGCGCTGGTCCGGTCCACACTCGGCTCGTGGCCTTAAGGAGGAGGGAAGAGAAGCCTGCGTAGTGTGGAATTAGGAGTTCCACGGCGCCTCGGCATGCATGCGATGTGGGACAGCTCCCGCACCCTCACCCTTCTTCCGGAAGATCTGTGCAGGGTGTCGCAGTGACTCTGCAGTTGCGTCCCTGGGGACCAGGCCACAGCACCGAGACGGCAGAGGGAGGTCAGGAGTGCTTGCTGCAGGCGCTGTGTCCTCCCTGGAGCTGTCACACACTTCTCTCGCTCCCGTGTCGCATCTGCGTGAGGACTTGGTGTTTCCGGAAGATTGGCCAGATCCGGGGAGGCCGTGTGGACCAAGCAAGACACTTGCTGTGCAGTCAGAACTGGGAATGGGACTCAGGCTCCAGGCGCCAACTTTAAAGGAGCCTGGAAGAAGAGTGAGCCTTTGCCAGGCCCAGGCACAAGTGTGGTGCCCGGCTGGTTTGCTGCCCTCCTGCTGGGACACAGGATTACCCACAGCAGTGCTGAGACCAGAGAGCAGCCTGTGGGCTGTTCCCGTCCTCAGGACAAAGCCAGGTTGCCTGGCCAAATAAATACAGGTCCTATTTTTAACTAATACAACTCGATTTGGACACATGATGGCTGCCACTTGCAAAGGAAACCTCTTCCTTGCGGTGCAGTGCAAAGGCAGGGACAGGGCATGGAAGGGAGCGGCTCGGCATGACCACTCCTGGGCGGGGTTGGCTGTCGCTGCACCTCATCCTGAGCAGCACACACAGGAGATTCACTCCTCATAACCCAGTGCTGGGAAGTCGGAGGTGCAGGTGCTGGCGGTCAGCCACATCCTGTCTACCAGGCCAGCGGCCCCCGCCCCCTGCGGTCTCTACCAGGAGTGCCCGATCTCACGCCCAAGGCTCCACCCCGAGAGCATCACCTCGGGATTTGGGGTTCAGCACATGGATGTTGAGTGTCCGCAAACACACAGTCTTCACAGCAGCCAAGAGTCACAGAGACTTGGGACTCTGAGGGACAGGTGTGCGAATCCTGTGCCCACCACCAGTACACAATGTGTGGACATCTCTACACAGAGGCGGGGCCTCTGCCTCCAAAGCACCTATCCTGGAAGGAGGGTGTGGAGTCTCATGTTTGCGGCCCCTGTGCAGACCCAGAGAGACACCGTGCGCATAGGCCGAGCAAACAAGTCGTCCGTGCCGCCCAGCCACCTCACCTGTCGTTGCTGCACACATCTAAAATGCTGAGACCAGAAGTGTTTCCAACGTTGGGATATTTGCTTCTGCACAGGATCTTGGGGACAGGACCAAGCCTAAACAGAAAATGCATTTATGTGTCTCATGCATGTCACCTGAGAGTAACTTTATACCATATTTTATTGCACCTGCATTTTGACTGCCACCTGTCCCATGGGGCCAGGGGTGGAATCTTCCACTTGTGTAAGGTCAGTGCTCCAACAGTTGAGGCTATGGAGTCTTCTCAGACTAGAGATGCTCAGCCAGCGCTGCATCTGACCAGGAGCTCTGTCCACTGCACCCAGCTGCCCACCCCATAAGCACATGGTGCTGCTGTTTTGCTCACCGAGGCAGTGTGAGAGTCTCCTGGCTGCCCTGGAGTGAGACTGAGGAAGACCAGTGTCTCACACGTGTGTGTGTTGTGCCTCACCCAGCGGGGTTGATGCACTGGATGCAGAAAAAGTAGTCAGGCTGCATATAAAAGCACACAGAAGACTCTGCTCTGCCCAGCACACATGCCCAGGAGATTCTCTTGGTGAAGAGAGAAGGTGATAAAATGGCACAGCTTAGGAAGTCCTCCTCCAGCGGTGTCCGAGATAGAAAAGAACTGTGACCTTTCCTCTAAAGGGCCCGTGCAAGGTTAAGAAAGCTTTGAGACTGAAAGCTATGGTTTCTCTTAGTTCATGCTGTTCTGACCACTTCCCCATTTACATTGAAAAGGGAGAAGCATGTGGCTTCTTAAATCTAATCCCCTTTCTGACAGTGGCTTTCTCTGTGGCTTGGAGAAATCACTTAACCCCTCAGCCTCAGTTTGGCCATCTGTGCCGTGGGAATAACACGTTGCTACCTGTTTCTCTGTGTGGTTAGAATCAAGGAAAAAGGTTAAATTATGCAGGAATATCCTCAGGGTGGAGGAAGCCATTAAATTTCAGCAGAAACATTTGAATGTCAGACATTATTACACATACCAGGCACTGTGAGCTCAAAGATTGGGCCTTCAAGGACCTTTTGTAGTGTTACGTAAAACTGTAGCCATCATGAAGTGTTTAATCACATCAGTTTATCTTATTCATGACAAATGGGAAAGTGTCTGTTCTTTTTTTTTCCTTCTGGGTACAGGGGATCGAACTCAGCTCCTCACACTTGCCAGGCAGGTGCTGCACCAGTGAGCTAAATCCCCTAAATTCTGTTCTTTTCTTTGTCTTTTCAAGAGTTGTAAATTCATGGGCCGGGGATTTAGCTCAGTGGCGTCTGCCTCACAAGTGCATGAACCTGAGTTCAATCCCGAGCACCAAAACTAAATAAATAAATAAAATAAAGAGTTGCAAGTTTGCTTGATGATCTAAAGGGTCTTTTTTCTGAGAATTATCTGTTTCTGCCTAAAGTTTTTTTTTTTCAAAAACAAGATAATGAATGATACTTCTTATATTTACACATTTCATACTAAGTCAGGTAACTCTGTGCTTTGGAGATTTGGAAATAAGGAGATGCCCACTGCCTACAGATTGGGAGTCGGAAGTCAAGGTTTTGGTTGGGACTGTGCTAGCGGAATCTTCTAGGCCAGGGGTGGCAAATCCCTGGCACACATGCCGCAGCAACTGCCATCACTGAAAGCTCTAGAAGGTTCGCCGTCACTGTTCTGGTCTGGTGTGTTCCTTATGTCCACCAAGAATGTGTTTGGCTGCTGTGAGAGAAAAGTCTGATTAAACGGCGACTCAGGAAATGAGTTGTGTTTGTCTTGTAAAAATAAGTGAGTGAAGCAGCAGAAAGCCAGCACGTGTGGAAGCCAACTGTGCCTGCCATGCAGGGATTTCTGTGTGACCTGACCCCCAAAGGCTCCTCTGTGGGTGCTGAGTGTCCAGCATGGAAGGTTGGCCGAGGGAGGAGATTAGGCCCCGGGTCCCCTGAGAATGGCCAATGCCGTCTCATGGCAGGGTCAGCTCAGGGCAGCATATCAGCACATGGACAAGCTGTGACCCAGACAAGGGGGTTGCTGTGGCCAAAATACCAGCATCGTCTGTCCGGACCCTCTGGCC